GGATGGTGGCCGTGTGAGAGCAAACAGGGCCACGCGAGAGCCCGATGAGGTGCTGGGGCAGAGAAGGGTGGGTGGGCAGGGACAGGCAGTGGCCCTGCTGCCCCTGGAACCCCCCGCCGTGCCCCAGCCTGGCCCCCCCAGAGGGGTGTGGGGCAGTCACCGACGCTTCCCACCACGCCACCGGCTCATTACTGGCATGAAAAGGAAGTGTCTGCCGGGATGGTGAAGCTGAACCCTGCAGGGTCAGGGGGTGCGGGAAACCCGCTCTGGTGTGTACCAGCATCTGCAGACCCAAAAACAGGAAACAACTGCAGCCTGCGATTGCCGCAGGCAGACAGCCCCCGGCAGGGCAGGCAGCGCGGCAGCCAGGGGGACTCGGCTGGGCACCACGGCTCCGCTGCAGGTACCCCAGCTGCACGGTGAAGCCTGGCCGGGCACAGCCAGAGAGCATCCCGGGGGATGAGGATAGACCCCGGCGGCACCCAAATCCCGCACCAGGACCAGCAGCCTCCCCCTGCCGCCCGTGTGCGGAGAGCGGCTCCATCCCCGCGCGGGGGCAGTGACCATCCCAGGAGGGGACCTTCCTGCTTGGAGCACTCTTGTGCCCCCTGGGCCACGCTGGCTCCCTCCAGGTGCGATGGGCAGGCTGCGGTGCAGGCACCGGCCCCGTGCTGGCCCGTCCGAGAGAACACATGGGACGGGACAGCCGTGGGGCCAGGCACGACCCACAACCCACAGCAGGAGGGAGGTGGCACCGCATAGAACACCTTAGGGGTGTCCCCCTGGGCTGGCTGAGCCCTCACCCAGGGGCCAGTCACCCGCCAGCCTCTCCTGTCCTTGCACCCAGGACTCGACGGTCACCCTGAGGCAGGTGGCAGTGAGTGGTAGCACCAGCGGCCACCGAGGCAGCAGACCCAGATGGGGAGCTCACTGCGAACACCCCGACCTCACGGCACACCCCTCACGTCCCTCCTGCCTCGGCTGGGCAGCGCCAGGACGTTCCCACACCCACCGCCGCATTTCCCAGTAGGATGCAGGAAAGGGGTGTGCAGCAGCCGGGGACTTACTGTAAATGGCACCACCTGCTCCTTACATGGCAATTCCTCTGCGGGCCAGGGCCACGGGGACGGTTGGGAATAGGGACTGTGACATCTGCTCCCCAGCGTGCTGCCGGGAAGCATGAGCTCAGGCTGTGCGGCACAGCCCCGGGGCTGGCGCGGGACCCCCCCAGTGCCACGGCATCCCCCCGTCTCACTCCTCTGCCCCGGGCAGGCGCACACAGCACAGCCCCGTGGTGTGGCACGAGATCCCCGGCCCCAGCAGGGGCTCGGCCGGCGGTATCCCATCCCCTCGCTGGCACAGGGGAGGCAGCAGGACTGCCCCGAGCCCCTTCATCGCGTGCCTTCTTTGGCCCCTGGCTCCCCCCAGCCCCAGCAGGGCTGCGAGCAGGCGGGGAGCGCGGGGCAGCAGCGGGACCCCCGTGCCCAGGCCAGGGTGTATTTTGGGATGCAGACGAGCCCAGAGGCCTGTGTACATCCCCATGGAAACCCCTCTCTGTTGCTGCTTCTCCAGCCAGACCCGCAGTCAGCTC